TTGGCGTTCACGGTGTCCGTCTGCAGGGCCTGCTGCTCTTGCTGGTGGAGCTCCAGCTTAGAAATGCGGGTCTGGCACGATTCCAAGGCTTCCTGCGGGCAAGAGGGAAAGGGGGGATCAAACGCTGTGGAGGTCACGGCAGCACGTGAGTGCTTGCTACGATGTGCACGAGAGCCCAGGTCAGAAAGCCCACCGGGCGGCGGCTTCAAACCCCCACACTGACGACGATCACAGACAAAGGTGGGAAACAAGAATCAAAGGCCATCTTTGGCTACTCAGGGAACAAGCACGTGTACGCAACAATCACATCCCGTAAATTAGGAGTTCTGAGTGAGCTTTTCAACTTTCCCTACTTTTGAAACAAAGTGGCATAGAATACTGCTGTCTGTGGTGCCACCAGCAACAAACCAGAGGAGTGGGGTTCCCCTTTGTGACAGCCACAGAGTGTGGGATCTCTACTGGCCAGTCTGCATGGCCACTATGGCCCAGAGGCTCTGAGTCTCCTTCTGAAGACAGTGAAGGCAGGTGCGAGGAGGAGATGGGACTGACCCACGGGGCAATGTTCTTCCACCTGCTCTCCGTGCACCGTGTCACTCAGGACTCTCCTAGGCTGTCTCCCCAGACCTAATTACTCAGACCCAGCTGACTCTGAGTGCATCCCCAGCTCAGCCGTCTCTTCTGAGACTGACTCACGTACCCACAGCCTCCCTGAAATCACAGGTCCTCACGAGCCCCTGAAGTGCAGCAGTCCTGGTGTGGTTCCTGTACTGCACCCGCCCCGCACCTGCGTTAACCCTTCCCCCTCCAGCATCTGCTTGTCTCAGAAAGCAACACCCAGTTCCTCAGGCGAGAAGGCTGAGGGGCAGCCCTGGACACCCCTCTCATCCAACCCAGCCCCTCCCTGCCAAGGCGGCAGCCAATTTCTACCTCGGTCAGTGCATTTTTCTCTCTTCCCTTGCTCAGCACCTCAGTCTGTCGCCAGCATCTCCTACCCGCAATAACCTGACGTGAATTTCCTCACATACTCTTCTGTCCCCACCTGTGACTCCATTTCCCCGTGGCAGCCCAAGCCATATTTTTGAGATGCACATTTGACATGACTCTTGTTCTCAGTACCTTCAAATGTCCCACATGACCCTTCAAGGCCGTGCGAGGCCTGGGCTCAGCCACCCTCCCCTGCCTCAGTTAATGCTACCTCTGTCCCCTCACAGTGCTCCAGCCAACACGGCTCTCTGCAAGTTCCTGAAAGGAGCAGGTCCCCACCTCGGGCCTTTGCACATGCAGAGTGCCCTGCTTGAAATGTGCATCTCTGCGGCTCCATCTCCTCTTCACCTGTGACTCTCCCTTCAGGTCTCACCTGATTGTCGTGTCTTTCCTGATCCCCCAGATTAGGTCAGGCCTCCCTCCAGCTTTACTCCCCGGCCAAAAGACTGCATGAGGGCAGGGCCAGTGCCAGGTACAATACAACCAGCTGAATACTGAGGAGACAGTCTGGTGCCACTAGTAGGATCTGAGGCTTGAGAAGGAACACCCCTCCCCCACCTCTGGGGCTGAAAGGACCTACCTAGAAGTATGACAAGACAATGTACCCCCTTTAGTTCAATAGCCTGCCATCGAACTCATTTGCCAATGTGTGTGTGTTCTATTAAAATGAAGGCAGTCATCTTTCCAGGTTTTAAATAAGCACAATAGCTCCAACATTGACTTGCTTTTCTTCTGCTGAATATGCTCTATGGGCCAAAGAACAGGGTTCTCTGTTACTATAGTAACTTTCATTATACAAGGCAACTGACAAAAAGGATGAAACTTCTTCAGATCTGCTACAGTGACAGGCACGTTCTGACAAATCCTGCATTCTTCCCAACCTCTTGGGCCCAGGGTTTCCGCCATTTTAGGCATGGCTCAGAAAAGGTGACAAAACATCAACGTTTTAGGCAAATTCATTAACCTCAGATTGTATAGATGAATTATATGCACCAATGGACTGATCACAGAATTGCTGCCAAATCTTTTACCTAGAGAAAAATCCGAGAAAATTAAGTAGTGAATTGCAAGGAATTTTAGTCACAGCAGCAACACATATTAAGCCCCATAAATTTTCAGAATTTCCTTGGGTTCAGTATTTAAATTAAGGATGAGGACAGAAGAAAAGATTATCTTTAGACATTTTTTTCTTCTTTAGACATTTTTAATTGAAATTTCAGGTTTATAAAAAAAGAAAAAAAATTCAAGCGGCGCCTGTGGCTCAGTGAGTGGGGCACCGGCCCCATATGCTGGAGGTGGCAGGTTCAAACTCAGCCCCGGCCAAAAACTGCAAAAAAAAGCCCCAGGCATTGTGGCAGGGGCCTGTAGTCCCTGCTACACAGGAGGCTGAGGCAAGAGAATTGCTTAAGCCCAGGAGCTAGAGGTTGCTGTGAGCTGTGACGCCATGCCACTCTACCAAGGGCGATAAAGTGAGACTCTGTCTCTAAAAAAAAAAATTAATTAACTAAAAAAAAAGCAAAAAACAAACTCAGTTGTTTAAAGCAGCAACAAAATCATTATATAGGTGGCAATAGCCACCCTCACCTATGCCACCTAAGCCAGCCCATCCATTGGTATTACTCTGTCTGCAAAAACCAAAGAAAACTCCGAGAAGCAGGGATGACATGAGCAGGCCCAACTGTCACAGCCCCCAGGAATATGGCTGCTCACGAAGGTAATAAAAAGAACGGCGAGTATTTATTTCTTCACTGTTTACAATGTGTCAGGCAAAGATTTCAGTACTTTACATACATTATCTCACTGAATCCTCTTGATAACCTTTGAGGTAGGGTTCATTAATTTTTCCATTTTCTAAGTGAGGAAACTGAGGCACAGAGAGCTAACTCATCCGAGGTCATACAGAGAGCCAGGATTCTAACCAACACGACATGGGAGATTCTCCAGTCATTTATACAGATGTCCTCAATCCCTTCTTGGCCTTCTGACTAAGATCAAGTGTATACAGAGGTCCTCTGAGCACTTCTGAGTGAGGGAGAAACCAGAAAATGGTGAAATGAAGTGCTGTAAATTTCTGTGAGAGGCTGCACAGGAGGAGCTCCCTTTATCTGACCTTTTCACTGCTAAAATATGTTTCTTTAAAGAGGGAAGAATATTAACTCAAACTATCCCCTACATGAGAAAACCATCCATCCAGACACCACCCAGTGACATCCAAGACACATTCTAAAATAGAATGACCTAATCACCCAACTGTACTGTTCAGCTGGCAACATTCCACATTTAAATGGTACATGTTTCTCTAGCCATGGTGAAGCGCTAACCCAGAGGAAGGCCAGAAATTCCCAAGTGTCTTCTGTGCCACAGTCTCTGGAGGTGACACTTCCCATCAGCTCCACCACATCAGTTCCCAGAATTGTCCGAGAAGGCATCCGGGATTAGCAAAGGCTCAGCCCCTGACACACAGTGAAATAAAACGTGACCAGTTGAAACTCCAGCTCACGCGCCGCAGGAGCAATCTTTGTTTCAGTTTTATCCATTAGAAAGAGGAGCTCCGACTGCCCACAGCCTTCGCTAGGCAGAAAAAAATAACCCCTGTCCACAAAGAAAATTCATAAACATGAAGCTGAGCATTATTTGAAGAGTACATTTTTTTAAGGCAACCAAGAAGCCTGGGGTTGTTTCACTACAGGCTGGCACCACCTTGGGAAACTCTGGGACACACCTCTGCTCACAGTTATCCTTAAAAACCTACCCAGTTGCTACCCTCCCAGGACACGTCTCTGCTTACTCTGATCCTTAAACCTACCCAGTTGCCACCTGCCTGGGACACACATTCACACTGATTCCTGAAGAATGATTTACACCACCTTGTTCAGGCCACTCAACATCTCTGTGCCTCAGTCTCCAGATCTGGGAGGTGGGGATAACAATAGGAACTACCTTAACAAATTGCTGAGGGGGAACTGGGGAAAAAAAAGACTTAAAGTGCTGTGTTAGTGTTTGGCACAGAGTATGCATGGGAGTGTCTAAAATTCTTACCAACAGGAAAGTGATCATTTTACAGATGAGCAAACAGGCTCAAGGCTTGCTCAGGGCCACACAGCTAGGTAAACGGCAGATTATGTCACACTAAATGATGGACTGCCCCAGCATCTACCGCTTGCTGGGCTCATGTCTGAACTTCTGTGGCTTGTGGGGTCTGCGCTGCGCAATCTGGCCCTTGTTCATGCTGTCCTGAGCTGTTTGCCAGCTGAGCTTCTCTGCACTCTGCAAGTAGGCTTCTCATTGTGTCTCATTTTTAAGTTTTAAAAATTTTGGTAATGAGGGGCTTCAAGTACATAATAAATACTTGTTAACTGATTTAGGGAGAAGGTATACAAAGCACAGCCTCTTAGTAACGAGTGGAACACGCACTAGTGGGATGATGGAGAGAAAATGTGCAGAGAGAACATTGTGCCTCCTGAGCCTGGAGTCCTCTGGAGCTCAGGGGTGATGTGCCTAGTCTGTGAGATGAAGGAATGTGCAGGAAGGGCCGGGGCGTGCATCTAACCTGGATGTCGCGGGCCCGCTCGTGGGCCTGGTAGGCCACCTTCTCCTCGATGCTGGCCAGCTCCTGCTTCAGGTTGGCTGTCTCGTGCTGGTGCAGGTCCGTCAGGTCGTGCAGCTGGTCCTCCAGTCGCTCGTACCTTTACAAGACAGGAGCCCATTCTGAGCACGGCATCACACGGGTCTTTGAACAGCACATTCTAGAACAACGTCCTCCTTATCACACTGTGGCAATGTACTTTGGGCTGTTTTCCTCCTCTGGCAGTTTTTCCAAAAGACTAAGTCTAGCTGTGGGGAACATGATGTTGGACCACACCAAATCCCAGCTTGGGAAGGACTGGTCTCTGCAGTCTCAGTGCTCCGTCCTCACTGCTGGGCATGCACGCAGACCCAGCCTGGCCTCTGTGCCCACGTCAGACTAGCACCTTAGCCGGCTGCCGTGACAATGGGGCAGATCTGCCAGGGCCAGTAAGGAGACGGGGCCCTCCAGGATCCTACCAGAGGTTGGGCCCCACACTACCTAAAGGTTCATGGGCAGAGATCTCATGAGGAAAGAGCCACGCTTTCAGTGTCACCCTCTACTCTGGGCCCAACACCATTACTACCACACTCAGTATGGTTTTCAGCTTTTACAACTTCAATGCCAGTAAGAGGACCTGTCTAACACTTGAAGTCTTATCGTGTCTACTTTGCAACAGGATGCACTATTTGAGGAGGGTGCATTAGCCTGGAATGTCTTTGATCAATGCCAGTTTTAGATTCTTATACAGGTCTCCTTAGAGAATCTTTTTGAAAAAAAAGAGACAAAACCAAAACAGATTTAATGATTATTTTCAGGCATGATTTCATAGGTGCCAAATGTTGTTGCTGATGTGGAGAAGCTTTTAGTGAGCGCCTAAAATGATGGCCATTTAGTGGGCACAGAGTAGGGTAATGTTTGTGATCCCTATATCCCTGTGATCACATTACCCTAGGACCAGAGGGAAAAAACTGTCCTAAACTTATGTAAATGGGTATTTGTAACTTGGGATAAAATATGCATCCAAAAAGTGCTGTATCCCAAACTTTTTGGATGAAATTAGAATATTTTCTAAAAAAGATGTGACTTAAAATTAACAGCTTAGGCGGCACCTGTGGCTCAGTGAGTAGGGCACCAGCCCCATATACTGAGGGTGGCCAGTTCAAACCCGGCCCCAGCCAAACTGCAAAAAAAAAAAAACAACACAGCTCTTGAGTGACAAAGATATCACAGTCAAACATACGTATGGAAAGTTAAAAAAGCTATTTCATAAAATGAGTCCAAAAAGCCACATTTCTAAATTAATACATATATAAAATCACACATCAATTATAAAACAACGTATAAGCTAAATTTAAAATGTCATTGTTAAGCTGGCTATGGTGCCTCGCACCTGTAATCCCAGCACTTTGGGAGACCATGGCAAGAGGATTGCTTGAAGCCAGGAGTTTGAGACTAGCCTGAGCAACACAGTGAGACCCTGTCTCTATAAAAATTACAAAATTTAGCCAGGCGTAGTGGTGTGTGCCTGTAGTCCTAGCTACTTGAGAGGCTGAGGTAGAAGGATCAGCTGAGCCCAGGAGTTCAGGGCTACAATGAACTGTGATCACTCTACTATATTGCAGCCTGGGTGACAGAGCAAGACTCTCTTAAAATAAATTAATTAATTACATTTTACCATATGTAATAGTCACTTCACTATTATGTCCATATTCTTAGAAGTTAACATGTTGAGGGACCACGGGGGAAAAAATCATCTCATCTTTGGGCATATATGCTTTTTATTAATAAGCGATGAGCATGTAAAAGCCAGCCTATAAAACATATACTTTTAAAATTAGCTAATACAACCGACAAGACTTTGATTTATACTTTAATCTTTTAGAAATTTAAATTTTATTTTTTGTAAAGAGGGCTTCTCACTATTATTTTCAGTAATTTTGTGCATAAAACAAAATTTGTGTCAGGTAGCTATACGTGGAATTTTTTCACTTGTGACATCATGTTGGCACTCAGAAAGTTTTGGATCTTGGAGGGTTTGGATTTCAGATTTTCAGATTAGGGACACTCGACCCGTGTTGACGCTTTCCGATCTGTATTCATATTTACTGGAAACACAACCTTTAGCATATAAAGCATGCCAATAGAAAACTCTGAAATACCTGTATCTCTCCTCCTGCAGCGTCTGAGAAATAAAACCGTACTCCCTCTTAAACTGCACCTTCAGCGCCTCGATGTCCTCGGCCAGCTGTGCTTGGGTATCTTTGATCTCCCTCAGCTCTTCCAGGATCACGGTGAGCTTCCCCTGGCTGTCCAGCGTGCCGGCCCCCCCAGCCCCGAAGGACTGGTTCCCATTGCTGTCAGCCGAGCCGGACGTGCCGCTGGAACACTCGTCATCGCTGCCGTACTTGGGTTTGTCCATGATGGTAGCAC